CTAGCAATGCCGACGACTGTCATTTGCCGACCATTGTACTTTGACAGGCCGTGGCTAAAACGTAGAGCGTTGAACTACTCCACATTCAATGGCCAAAGGACCTGGATTAAAATTCCAGGTTCCGCAAACCTAATGTTGATTATGGCTAACTGTTGACCGGAAATTATCACCCCAGTTCCTCCTTATTTACATTAATGAAATTTATGAAAGAAAAAGTTTAACTACCTTGAAATAGTTATGGACGTAGATGGACCTCAACCACGGCGAAGTGCATTGGCCGAGTTCCAATTGGTAGGATAAGATGAACTTCAACAAAAGAAGCCTCTATTTGCGACATATGGGAAGTTATCCAGTCTCGGTGAGCAGGCCGTGGATGCGGCCCCATCCTGCGTATCCCCGAGTGGTCCCTTGTGTGAGCACGTAGGAGACAGTTCCCGTCTGGGGCACATGTTTGACGGCGGTTCTTCATCGTGTCTGTCACATCGCCCAGTTTAACTCCGGCGACAGCCGCGGGCGTCGACGTCCACTGGTAGCCACACTGAGAGGGCGCAAGAACGATGACGCGCGCATGCGTTAGGGCATGGCGATGTTATCTGAGTCCGGAGGTCGATAAATAAGAAGGGTTCACCGGAACTGGTTTATTGGAATGATGACATCTCGGAGAGCTTGGTCCGCTCACCACCGTCAAAGCGCTTAATGCACTTAATCGAACAAAAATGAAAGCGGCGTGACCGATAGTCGATTGATCGATCGATGATCGATTTTTCTCTTTCGTTGACTTGGCTTGTCAGCTGCGCGCTATGAATCACCACCTACACGAAGGGAGGAGATTGAGCCTCTGTCGGGGAGTCTCCGATCTGGTGTCTTTTTCTTCGCCGTCGGATGGGTTCTTCGGCCAGCCATGTCTGCGCGGTTTTCCTTCAGTTTAAAATGGTCGCTTTTCCAGTCGCTTCGAAAGGCTCCAAAATCCCGCATGAGAGCAGGGGCGATTTTTGATAATCGTCGTCTGAATAGCACATCGCAAGACTGAGTCGTCCTGCGCTTAGACCAAAGATATTAAGTCCGCCAAAAGTTTTGGGCAGCGAAGATTTTGTTCGATTTTGAGAAGTGAATGCTTTGGCAACGAGGAGCCGACCAGGCACTCCGAAACGTCGGCAGAACAGGAAATATGTTGCGGCGAGCCCCTTCTTTTCTCAAACTGTCACCCCGGGAGACTCTATTTTGCCAAACCAAAAAGCTGGATCATCTTTCTCGTTTATTCCTGCCAAGTAGTGGCGTCGTCCACTGACTATTTCCCAACGTCATTTATGGAAATACAGTCGCGATCGCGGCAGCAGTAAAGCACAATTGGTAGGAAATACACACCACTGCATGCATGGCTGGGGATTTGTTATAGGGAAAGCGGAATTG